CTTTTCTCCCATATCCTCCTGTTACTCTTTCGCATTCATCGCTTGCATTCACTTTTTATGTTTGTGACCATGCTCTTCAAAAATAAATGATAGTAGCGTCGTTGGCTAACGTAACGAGGTCAATTAACTTGGGTCAAAAAGTGTTTCCAAATGCACCGCTTCGGAAAACATGGGGCTCTGAATTCTTGCGTATTGGTACATCTAAATCGGTTCCAAATCTGGTGACGCTGCGATTTTTTACCCCTTGACTTTGAGACTGTATCCGCTTCACTGTCGACCACTGCTCTTTGTCAATTGTGATCATTTACAGGGTTACTAAAACCACTATAACTTATGGCCAGAAAATACCAAAGGAGCTAACTGGACAAAAACCGATAGAACAAGTTATCAGGTGATTAAACAAATGAAGTAATCCCCCAATTTGGTTGCTGGCCAGTCGAAAACAAACCTCCCCTTAATTAAAGGCAAATAGCACCTGCTCCTGGGTGCATGCATTTATATGGGGGTAGGTAACAAACTCTCTAGCATTTGTCAGCTTCATTTACCTTACCATTATTTTACTGGTCTAGAATCTGCGAACCGGTGAGATAACTCAGCTCGCCAAACAGCAAACCTTAGCTATTGAGAACGATATAGGATAACAATATACGTAGACTCTTGACGCAAAGGTTTCCAAGAGTGCAATAAAAAACGTACTTTTCTCTTTGGGCTTGTGAGGAAGTCGAAATCCCAACGTCGATCTAGGGAACCTCCGGGATGCTGTAACGTACGCAGATAGTCATGCGATTGTTTCGATTGGTGTGAAGTACCGAGCAGGCGCCGTTTCATCCCGGTGCTGGCTGGCGCCACAATAGTCTCCACTGCCTCTGTGACCTGAGAGAATTGTTTCTGAGCGCTTGACGGCATAGATGTGTGTACAGAGCCAGTCGAGTCCACAAGCATTGGGAACTCCATAGGTGTCATGCCCGAACTTGGCCCAGGGCTGCTCAAAGCGGTGCGATTCACATCTAAGGCAACTGGAAGGTGGGATCCAAACAAGTAGGAGGCGTGCAGCTGATCACTGGGGTACGGATGATCAGGATTGGACAACGTTGGTGCGACGGATCGATGGTGAGTAACCGATTGTGAGTGCAAGCCAGTGACCGAGGGCTGGCAACTCAAAGGAGGAGGGAAATTCCTTGGAACTATCAAAGGACTGGGTTTAAGAATAGAGAAGATTGTTCGGACAAAACAGTAGGACAGATCAGTAACCAAAAAGATTTGTGGTAAGTGAAGTTGACAAATAGCAAAAATATCTCCAAACTAAACCCATCCAATAGCGAAACGCTTCGGACAGTGCTTGAGAAAATGAAAATAGCATTTTTTGGCTTTCTAGCCAGTGAGCTAACTTCCTTCGCTCACGAGTCATCGCTGTGGACATCCTATATATCAGCTCTCCATGCGCAAAGAGCCAGTGAGCTACTTCCTTCGCTCACGAGTCATCGCTGTGGACATCCTATATATCAGCTCTCCATGCGCAAAGAGCGCTTGAGAAATCTGGTAGTTCTCACGGTGATGAAGCCCGCTGATGGACTGAAGTCTCGTCAGATCGAAAACTGCCCCCGAATACAAAACTGCCCGTCATTCCCCGATCCTGACGAAACTATAGGAATATTCAGGCAAACCAAGGCTGCTGTTGAATCAGCCAAAACATTGTGATGCTAGCTTCGTCCCAAATTTGTTGGCTTATAAATATACTGTCTGTTGAAAACATCCATCTGTTCACTGTAACGGCTTTGGCTTCTAACCCAAATCTGCACGTGGTGTTCCAGGCCTTTAGTGCCGAGAAGAAGCAAACAAGGTCACATGACTGATAATGATACGTTACAACTGCCTTCAATATAAGGCGACTGAACTGCATGCTCATTCCTGCGGGACGAACAGTTGCTTAGTCCACACATTCGCTATAAATAAGTAAGAGTTAATTTGAAGAATGCTGGAAGTTCCAAATGAAGAAAGAAAGAAAATAATAGGCGGACGGTGGACACCGTATCGCTAAACCAATAAAACTCCAAGCGCCCTCCCCTCCCCCGGGGGTTCAGGCAGCAGGTTTAATTTGTCGCAACAGTGATAAGACTACTATATAAAATGGAGACTTGTCCGATGAAGTCACAATGTTTTAAGTGTGTTGGACACATGCTTCCGATCAATAGATTGATTTCACCACTGACTTTGTTTCAAGCCAAAAAAATCTCCAAGGAATCAACGAAATGGTTGCCTGAGAATTTCAAGACACAAAAATACCCCAAAATTCCTACTCTTGAGCAAACTTTAAGACACAAACTCTAGATAATTTCGGAAAGGTCTTCACTACCTACAAAGTCCCTACGTAAGCCAAAGTGAGCGGAAAAGGAGAGAGTAGTTAAAATGCAACAAACAGCGCCGCAAACGTGCCAAAAAACTTACAAGTCTCCCTGATCACTGAAGGTATGTTCTAGGCTACTACCAACGGAGTACCGATGACGTCTATGCACCATATCATTGGCTTCGCCATCCGTTCCACTGTACGAAAGCGGAGGTGGTTCTCTGTCGACTGTAGTTGACGCAACCGAAGAGGCTCGGCGTGAATTGCGGCTAGATGGCGGTCTCTGTGACCAGCCTGGCAACTCGGCTGGACTGTAGGAAATCGGACATGTGGTACCTTCTTGCGAGCGGCGAAATCGCCTCAGGAACCGTGTGAAAGCTTGTGGATTCGACGCACCTGCAGATGCGACGACACTCAATTTCATTGTATCTCCTGTGCGATCTCGGGAGCAGAGATTTGTCTCACTTTCCGATTCCAACTGCGAGGTTAGGGCAAGCGAAAGGACGATCCAGCTATTGACGTCGGAAAATTCATGATAGACAAAAACTAGTGGGAAATGTAGAGGGACGGCTCCCAGCAAATGATAAGTTCGAGAGGCTAGAAGGACGGTAGACTCCACGTGGTGCTCTGGAATTCCACTAAACCTCAGCAGGATGCTATGTGATCCAATGGAATCTCTTAAATAGGTACTGAAATCACAAACCGTCAATTAACTGGCACACGTTCCCCCCACCCAACGGAGCATCGATGATGTCTCCTTGTTTGGTGACGGATCGTCTATAGGTTAATTGCTGGGGTCGCCGAATAGATCAACGACGACATTTTGCGCAATACTGGGAAAATCAAATGCAAGTTTTCAGAATTCACAGAAGAGGATATCCGGTAGTGATATGAGGATGCCTTAGAAGTAGGAAGCAAACAGATATACTATTACACGTGGAGTAACGAGTTCATTTGACAGAGCTACATTTAAACCAATAGCGTTGCCTTCACACATTGCCTCCTGATTGAAAAAGGTACCACCAACTGACTCAAAGCACATGCGGTTCTCCATTTTGTTCTGCGTACGTTATTTGTCTAGTAGCATCGACTGACTATGGAGGTAGTATTTAGCCGCTTTGGGGTAACGCGGGCCAACTAGTGGGATTGTACGACCACGCTTTGTTTGCTCTTCAGCCTTGCTGGCTTCCCCACTCCCTCATGCAAGTGTCCTGTTCGTGCCACACGTTTGAACCTAATTTTGTGAATTTATTCTTCATGATGAGAATTGAATGATGGGCAATGCATAGAGCAGTGGAATTAGCTCATCTGCAGATGAAGTTCCACTTCCTTATAATAAATGGTTCGCTGGTAATTGAAGGACTGTACTTCCTTGTTTTTTATGACTCTAAAGTTCCGGGGCCAAGCGTTATAATGTGGGTGAAGCATATCATGAGCAACGAACGACAACCAGTCAGCAACACAGCAGTATCAAACGCTGATGATCAGCTGCCATAATAAACAACAATGGAGGCTATCAAAGTGATACCGGACATTCTTTGAAACGTCATAACTACCATACACCGACAAGGAAGTAAAACGAAGAGAGCTACCTTGTGTAACTCCGTCTTCAGTTCACTCAGATGAATACCGGGTGGACTAGGTTGCGGCAACAGAGATTGGGGTTGACCAGCGCTGTCTAATTCAGGCCAGTCCGCTGACAACATCGATTGACGGTCGTGATGACCTATGGGCTCTCCGACTTCTGAGGACAAACAGCCCGAGTTGGGCGCAACGCCAAGTGAGTCTGCACTATCGGGCGGTTGAACGAAGGTGGCTTCTTTGGAGTCTTTCACCATGAATTGCGTGTTCGGATCGGAATCCGGACCGGGCAGCGGATGTGATGTATTCGCTAGCACAGCGGTGGTATCGAACGGAATGGATTCATCCACGCTCGGGTCACGTAAGTAGCCGCACTGGAACAAAAAATAAAACAGAAGTGTTCAGACCTCAGTCTAGTATACTATACTAATAGTATACTATACTATAGTATAGTATAGTATGACATTTTATAGTATGGTAGTATACTGTACTATACTATAAACACGTCCTTAAGTGAGCAACCTAAGCAGACCAGTAAAGGCTATCGCACCGTTTAGTAGACACGGACGAGGATTGCTAAGAGGTTACGCATTGCAGGACTAAAGGGATAGGCATAGAATGTGACATAACAAAACATGGTCATTTTTGTATTGTGATAATGAAAGTGAGCCATAGTTCTGCCCGGGGAAATGTCCTGACTAGGGGTTTCGGGCCCAGTTGGATTCTCTGGTTCTGTGGTCAACAAGGTCTGATTCACCAACATTAGACAAGCATTGAAGGTAAGAGCCTATCTAGGTGGATGGCATTTAACACCGGACGGGAATGTGGCTGTTAGCATCCCGACTCATGGGAGTCCAAACCAGGAAGCAATTCCAATTGCAATCAAGTGTTTTAATGAAATTCCTCTTGCTTTGCTGATAGATCATTACTAGGTAGTCGTCGAGACATATTTAGATGTAAACTATGCCATTGAAAAAGACCTTCTGACCGGATCGGCTAGAACAACCTTGTTTGTGAATGTGGTGCCCATATGGAAACTAATAAACCTATTTCAGATTCGTTTGCTTTGCGGATACTACCACTCAGCGTCAGACGTAAGATATGCTGGGTTTATACTCGAAGCCATTAGAAGAGCAAAAGCAAAAGGGTATCTGAACTCTACTAAAAGTTGACAGGCTGACACCGCCCTTCTCGATCAGAAAGCGACCGACCCACCGGGATTTGAGCGTTCATACGAACACTCGTCAACTCCATTTGCGAGTCGTGTGCTTGGGATCAATGCTTTACATGACAAGGGATTATAAAGATTCGGGAACCGTAAGTGACGCCTAAAAATAATGAGAGAACTTGGAACCGTCATCGTCCGAAACGTTACCTGATTCAATTTATGTTTCCAGGCGATCATTTGACTGGCTTCGCTACCACGACGGGGGCAACTGGACGAGTTCCAGGTCCAGGTGCTTTTCGAGGTCAATTGAGGCCACTCAGCCATCGTAGCGGGCTTATTTGCAAACAATTGGTGAATTTCTTGAGCCATTTCAGGAGTGAGCGGATGGTGACAAGTGCATCCAGTGGCCGTGGATTGACAAGGGTCCCCAAGCACTGAGATAGAGGTGTACATGTATGAGCAATTCGAAACTGAGTGAATGGAAATAGAGTCTCACAACAACTACAGACTTATCCTTTCAAAGGTGACCACTCTACCAGGCGGGTCACAGGAGTAAACTGAAGTACGACCCAACCGAAGAAGGACTACCGATTCTTTTTTCCTTCAGAGTGATTCTTCTGAAGGGCTGTCGTACAGGATGTCACTAATCAAACTAACAGGCGATTGTTTGCGATATCCAATGAAATGAAAATGACTGGTGACACAAGAAATCTGGATCAAGCATCAGGTAAAGATGAATCTTGCTATGGATCGATACGGTGGATGATGACCTCAATTCTAGGTGATAATGATATGCGGAGACCCAGTGAAAGATCCAAAATGAATAAAGAATACTATGGTTCAGCAGGCAAAGTGGTATTGGTTACGATGAGCACTAAACNCATATAAAAAATATATATAAAATATGATATAATAAAACAACATTGCTAAAATCAAAGTGGCTACAAGCGTATCAACTAAAAGATAAAGAACGTCCATCGACAGCTCAGAAGTCCCACATAAGAACGGCCCTCAAAAGATAGTTACCCGCTCGGACCACCTATGAAACATCGATCCATCCCCTGTTTAAATCCGATCAAACTATAAAAGAGCCCATGTACCTCTGATATCCGCATCGACACAGAAAATAAATCAACAAGGATCTCTCATACATCTATCCATGTGCCTTCTGGACTTACTCGTTGCGCCCCCGGTAGCGGCGTATCTGACAGGCAAACTGAACCNGCTTTTGGTATCGTGTTAGTTGAGCCTCTAAAGCTTCAGTCTTCTGTCGTTCGTCCCCTTCGAATTCACTGCTATCTGCTGGCTCGGGTGCTTTCTCAGCTCCTGGTGGTCTCCACCAGGTTCCTGTGGTACGAGATGTTGTGGTTGAAGAAGAACGCAGAGCGCTAAACAAGGAACGTTGCTGGGCTGCGAGTACCGCTGGCGAGGCACGAAGTTTTGTGCCCACAGGACGTATAGACCTGGGTGGTGGGTGACACTGGTGACGTTCAGTTGATCGCTCAGCTGAGACTGTCGATGTCGATCCATCGTTGACTGTGGTCACACGATCTGGCTCTGTGTGCGCAGCAGTCAGGGGTTTCTGCGTGAGATCGAGCGCAGCGGATTGCCCAGATGGCTGGTGTGGATAGCAACACATTGGTTCATTAGTTGGTGAAGTCTTCAGGGTAGATGTGTCCGTCTCCGAACCGGAGTGCTGGAAAAAATGATATTGAAAAAAAGAGGATAAGAATGTCCAAAATACCTGCCTAGTCTACAAAGGCACCAGGCTTGTAAACGCACCATATTTCTGTAGTTCGTCTGTTCTGGATAACTCCCGCCAACGGTAAGGCCAGGTCGCTGAAGAGGCTGAAGTTCAGCAGCTCCGTCAGAAGAACGACGGGGAAAACTGGAACACTCTGGGAAAAATGGCGTACAAAGTCAGGATATGTGGGACATTAAAAAGATGAGCAGTTTCTCCAACTTGAAGACACACGATATCAGGCTTCTACGCAAAATGACTCACGAGGTGTCATAAACTCGGGCGGAGCGAGCAAATGCGGATCCTTGACGGTGAATTTAGCAACCGGTTGATGAATCATTGCAGGCAAATTGGCAGGCAAGTTGAGCTGGGGAAGCAGAGCACCCAGAGCAACAGATTCCTCCTCGTCTCCATCAGGTTCCACGTGTGCAAAGTAACAGATTCCTCGTCTCCATCAGGTTCCACGTGTGCACTAGACCAGTAGCCTCGTTCAGCTACACTTCCTACCTCATCGGTGGGCTGAAAAGGAAACATGAAAGGGGGTTGAACCTAAGGCGTCCAGTCACATTTCTAGATATGCGTGTGCATTATCGATAGATACGATAAACTATTTCGGGAAAAATTAGCCCACTATAATAAGCGAAGCAGTGGACAACTGATTTGCCCTTCGATAGTACTGGGTGCGCTTAGGTTTGGACACAGAGATCAACGATTACAAAGTCAGGCACTCAATCCGTCAGGTCACCAGGAAATTGAAGAGACATGTGCATCGAGAGCTTTGTGGACTTGAGACAGTATACGTATTACCCGCATGCAGACAAATCCCAAGGAGACCGATTACCAAATGCCTAGCGGGCAAGCAAGAGAGAAACGAACGCCCAACAATCTATTTCATTTCGAGTCATTTTGTTATGATATTCACTCACAGAGCTTCTTTGCCTAAAAAGTTCAGTCCGTGTACCGAGTCGGCTAGTACAACAGATTCACTTTACGGCGACTTTTTCTGAAAAAAGGCGAGTCAGCTTCAAAGATATACTGAATCGATGCTGTGGTTGAAGCGCGATCGGTAGCCTATTCAATACCTAATTATGCGGCAACGACGCAGAAACGTGGCATCCTCATCATCACATGGCCTTCTTTCAAGGACGCACTACCTAATTATCGGCAACGACGCAGAAACGTGGCATCCTCATCATCACATGGCCTTCTTTCAAGGACGCACTTTTGGCCCATGCACAGTAAAGTGCGGGCTGAGAAGCGACAGGATGTGCGGAGCGAATTCTCATGTGATCTCATCCACTCACACCGTCCGGTCCGAAGTTTGTTCGAGATCGGCCCTCTAGCTCCATGTACATCCAAGTGCGACCCGTGGGATAACGAGGTTCCACAGTTATTGGTGACGGTCACCGATTTCGTGTTTCAACTCGGTCCCACTAATTAATAGCCAGAAATCCAGGTTTTTCTTGTGGAACGTCAAACTTCTTCATGGCTAGGTAGGGCCAATCATATCGGTTGCACCTAGTACTTTTAAAAAAATCCGGCCGATAGTCCACCATTCCCTGGTAGTATCAACACCAGAGGTCCATAGACCTACGCACAAAATTTCCCTTCAAGGTCAACGCCGTCGAATAGACAATTACAACCGGAAGTCTGAAGGGAGAAAGCGGACGCGGACCAAGTCGTTGACCGTCGCAACAATTACCCAATCTGATATAAGCAGAGCAAGCGAGTACTACTCAGGCGGGCCAAAACACACTGCACTACCAAGGAGATCACAGCAAAGGAAGAAGAAGCACCTTTAAAAAGTTCCCCAAAAAGACGTTCGTCCGAATTTTGCTCGTAGGTCTCTCCTGAAAGGCAACTCAACTAGTTTGACTGCACAAGGGGAGAACAGGAGAACATCACTTCTGAAAATCAAGAATATCTTCGAAATGACTGCGAGGCTATACCAGCAACCTGGAATGGCGGTGCAAACTGAGAGACAACTTCCTATCAGAATATACAAGTAAAAGTCACAATCAATCACCACCAGAATCCATGCATCAAGATCGAGAACGAAATCAACCTCAAGCCCGAGCAAAGAAGGGGGCGTGGCACTCTACGGAAAAGGCTGTAAACATATTGATATTGATCCGAAATATGAGAAAATATGGTGAAAACAAATCAGGAGGCTTAACTTGTAGCTCCACAAAAAGCCAAACAAATATCTGACGGAAAAACAGAGGAGACTGAAGCCAACGGATGAATTGAATCGGCTTTAATAGAAGACGCCAACCAATGGAAACTTCGCTCGGACTGCGACAGCGAACGAAGTGGGACAATCAAACGGAACAACCGATTACCATACTGAAACGAGCCAAATTTACCAAACGAGATCGCCAATCAAACCGAAGAGTTCCTATACTATGTCGTACCACAGAAGAAAATGATCAAAACGAACGGCAAAATCTACTAGAAGCGAAGACCTCCAATGAAACAATTAAATATAAGGGAATCAAAGCACAGAGAAACAGGTATCAGAAGTGAAGCCCTAAGCAACAGGAGAACCAGACCCACTTAGAGAAATACATTGATTTGTAAGCCAACGAGAGAACCCATTGAATCTCGACTGAATCACTCATTTAGGTTGCAAGTTGGTGTATTTCGCCAATTGCGCACAATTTGGTGTTCAAGTAGAATATAGGGTTGATGGAAACTCGGAGACTGCGCCTAACGAATGAGCTTCAAGAGGGGCAGAACCGGTAGAGTTCTTGAAGAGTTCTCAACTACATTATAATTAGTGTGTTCCCCCGGGGTCACACCCAGACATAGAGGCTGTACTCAGACAAAGTATATAAAAGCAAGTACGAGAAAACGAAACACTCGGCCAAGAGCACCCTGGTGATGTCACTTTGAATGATGACGAGATGTTCGCTAAGCAACCGGCAAGCTCCGAAAACAGACTGATGACCGGTGGGTTCGAGGGTAAAATCCATCAAGTGAAATGAATAAAACTGTGTGAAAACTCTGTTAAAGTCACCCGTTTTTCTTGATTTTTTTCTGGTTTCAATCAACCAAGCGATCAACATCTTAAGCTTTTATAACACTTTGAAAAAATGGTGTTTAGACATGAAAACGCTCCAATCTTTGTTGTCAACTTGATGAAAAATGCGGTAAAGGGACCCGTACATTTAAGCCAAGTTGGGTCAGAACACTGAAGAATATCCTGAAATATGTACATGCGTGAACGTGGCTTGATACGAACATCATTTGGTGAAAAACTGGAATAAGGGACGGCAAAAATCAAAAGAACAGCTGACCTTGATGGCGTTTCGCATGTGCTTCCACACGCATGAAATCGAACAAAAAAAAGTACCGATCAACCGGAAGTGACTAAACCTACTTGGAACGATTGCACGTAGTAAGAATCGGGTTAGTGTGTGTGTGTGTGTAGAGAGAGAGAGAGGGTGCATCACTGATTAGTACGGGTCTGCAACGCTCCCAATCAGAGGTGCAGTTCCCATGTTTGATTCCTATGGGTGCTAGTAGGATTGTGACACAGACACTGTTAAGGGAGATTTTTGGTTGTTCATTGACGAGCCGGAAAAAGAACAGGCAATTCAATTGAACATCAGAAACCAACAAAGAACTTACCAGTTTAGCGGAGTGTTCGACTGGGTCCGTCTCCATTGCCACCGGGTTCCAGGTGGGTTCGTCGGTAGAGTCTGCCAGTTTTGCAGTCGGCTTGCGATCGAAGTATGCGCCATCTCGTACATCAAGGTCCCATGGAGGCATTTTAGATGAAGAGTGTTGTGAGGAACTGGGTTGAGCATCTGCTGCGGAAAGCCATGCAGAAGTGGGGGAACAAATAAGAGAAAGATGTAGCTAACTGAATAGAGAATGATAAGTAGTCGTTCGGTAGTAACATGCTTTCGGTGCCTGCCTGTCATGCCACTCGAAGAAGGCACGAGGACTGGGATACTGTCCGGCTGCTAGACAAGAGTAGTTGAGACGCTGAGATTGGGTTCGAATCACGGACCTTCCGGTCAATCGCGCCTTGACTACTGAGCCATCTCGAGCTTATACGTGCCTATTACTAAGTAGGTGGTTGAAAAAAATCTGGTTTTTGTTAAGTAGGGTAAAAAAGAAGAGTCAGCAGATTCGGTGTGAGAAAGACGAACATAAGCACTGTGATGAGCCTGAAGCAACGAACTGAAAAAAACGAAGCAAGGGTACGCACTGTTCAGAAAGTTAGCTGCTCATAAAAACATGCCGCAGTTAACTGCTTTTTAGTTGATCAGAAGAAATGGCAATGATACCAATCAGGGTGTAGTCAAGTGGCCCTATACAGTTAAGAACACGTTCCGAATGCATTGCATGTTGTGTTACGTTTTTCAGAATCTTGACGGACGTTCTTCCCCACTGGATGAAGAAAGGGATGTGGTAAAATGGGTGATAGAGTAAAACCGTTCATCCCTGCACTTCCGAGAAAGAGTAAGGCTTGTACACCTATGTGAGCGCTGCTGTCAGTGTCACTCAGATGCCATAACTGATCTGATCAGAGGGTAGGGATATGATCCACGTATGAACGAAGCATATAAGGTCATTTTTATCCGCTGCTGACTGTTCCTTAGAGAGTTGGAATCATACAAATCAAGGCATCTACAAGGTAACGGGTCACAATGAGGTGAGGGCGGGCCAGACTTGACTAGTTGCAAGCGATGCGTGCGTGACACACAATTGGCACTGGGAGATGGTAGGTCGACCTGTGCCTCCAACGGATTCTGATACATCCTACTGTTCACAGATAAATCGCGTTTGCCACCATTAGTTAGAATAATAGTATGTCTGCGGTCTGACTGGTAGGAAGCTTTAACAAGCCCTTTCGGAAGCACGCTTCTGGAGTGGATTTTTGAACAACGGCGGTGACAGTCGATGGCTGGCCTTAAAACAAAAAACAGCATGAATGTCCCGACTTTCATTTGTCGTCTCTTCGTCCACTTCCCCGCCAGCTTTGTTTCGTGCTCCGACGCGTTCTCCTACTTCAAACCAGCTCTGTGCTGCTCATCATAATCCAGGTAGACACCAGGTAGACAAAAGACCACAAGCTGGTGCGTTGACGTGTTGGTTGGGATGGAGTGCTACGATGACCCAGTAAGCGATACTGGATGGGGCTATGTTCCCCAAGGATTATCCATGCTAATAAGTCTGAAGAAGACCAGTTAGGCAAAAATAACGAATCACCGTAAAGTAAGTACCTACATTACGAAAAGGTCGGAGATAAGTTCGGACTGCCCTTATCGAATAAGTGTGACAGCCCTTGACCGAAAATGAACGGGTTACCAAAGGTCGATTCTAAAAACCGCACGCTCCAATCGTCCACCGGTTGACCGTAACCACTGGTGAGTTGTTCAGTACGATCGAAAAATGACTTAATCTTACCAAGAGCCCCATAGGTCCTAAGATGTCCCTGTTATGCCGAGTAGAATCAGGAGTCAGACATCTATGGCTTACTCTCTGGGCCCTCGGGTTAGACAGGCCTTCCAACAGCCAAAGGGGTTGGGCTGTTGAGTTAGTGGCCCCGTAAAGGGTCTACCGGGGAAATTCTAACACTGAATACCTTGGAATGAGACAGTTGAGTACCTTGGACATTCTCATTCTTCGCTCTGAACAGAATGATAATTTTCCCTTTGAACGATTCTAATGGCTCTAGCAAACCTCATTTTCTACACTGCGACACTCAATGACTGGTCAACGAATTTCCTTCACTCGTTCTTTATCATACTTGAAAACTGACGTGTGCTGTATATCTGGAGCGCATCTACAAGACCCGATCACTGTGATACATCCTCGGATGGCTCAGAAAAATTCACACTGTTCGAGCTTTACTCTTCGGGCGAATCCCGGCCTAATTGTCGCGTGGAACTGACCCTCCAAATGATGGATCAGTCTGCGCAGGACAATACAAAAGAACACATTCAAAGCCACTATATTGATGTCCCGCTGGTTTCCGCAAGATGTTCTTGTACCCTTTCTGGACATTGGGATCACCGTCTAAACACTCTAGCCTGTCGATATCGTCTTCATTTAGGATATGTTGAAGGAAGGTCATAAGACTAACCACAAGGGATTCACTACTTTCTTTGAAGAGATGCAAGCCATCTGTAACAGACACTTTGTTACACCGAAGCATCATCATCATTGTCAGCTGTAATAACCGCGTACTCGTCGTACAGTGGTTGCAGCTGCCGCAGTTTCGTTCACCGATGAT